TAATTTTTAAATTTTTATTATATTAATAAAATCTAAATTGCTTAATTAAAACATATAAAAATATATGTTTTATCCATAATTTTGCATCCGTTAAAGTATTATAAAATATTCGTTTTATCCGTAATTTTTGCATCTGTTAAAACATTATAAGATCTATGGTTTTTCCTTATTTTTTGTATACATTTTTTCTCACTTTTCAATATTAAGTATATGGTTTATTGCATTTGTTCAAGCATTATAAGATATATGTTTTGTCTGTGATTTTTGTATTTGTTAAAGCATTATAAAATATACATTTTGTCTGTGATTTTTACATCCATTAAAGCATTATAATATATACGTTTTATCCCAGTTTTTTGCATCTATTAAAGCATTATAAGATATACATTTTGTCTGTGATTTTTGTATACATTTTTTTCCACTTTTCTGTATTAAGTTTAAGGTTTTTACTTAAGGAAAAAATGTATACATTATACTGAAATTCCATAAAAATTATATATTGTAAAACTTTATATTTTTATGGAATTTTTATATCAATTTTTTATTTGGGTGATAGTTTAATATATTTTACGTTCAATGCCACTGATTTTCATTGGCCTGAGCTTCATAGACTTATACTATCTAATGGAAATGATAAAACTTCAGCCAAATGTTATCACTAAAACATCGTGGATAATCCTCATATTACAGTCTGGTTTTTTAATAAACTATTCAAAATCTTTTTCAATGATATTCTAAAGAAACTGGGATTTGGAGGATTAGTGTTATAGGTTTGAATGGCAACATCGCAGCAGTACTTACGTGCATAGAATTAGAAAAATAAGAAATACGCCTATGATTAAGTGGAAGAAGATGAAGGAAAATAAATGATCAAAACTGACAATATTATAAAATTAATTAAAAATTTAATGAATAATGCTGAATCAAAGCAAGTAAAAATTAATTGCTTTGTTTCTGATTCTGCTGGAGAATATGCTGTAGCAAGAAAAATTAATTAATTCATTATATTTTAAGATTCAAAAATATAAATGATATTAATTTTATTTTATCTTTTTAGATGTCAAATGAGAATAGAATATCCTAATAAAGTATTTTTGCCTTGTATAACACATCAGATGAATTTAGTTGTAGGAGATATTTTTAAAGAATCACCTCAATTTAAACAAATATCAAAAGATGCAGTTCGTATTGTAAGCTATTTTCATTCTTCTACATATTTTACTGGATTATTGTGAAATGAAAAAATGTCATATTATGGTCAAACAATAGTATTAATAACTCCAGGTGAAACACAATGGATTAGTTATTATTTTTGTTTTTATAGTGTTTTGAAAACAGAAGCAGCCTTAAAGGTAAATAAGAATATCATTAAAAGTGTTGAGAGTTTGGAATTTTTGAGTTGATTATATAAGCTTCAGAATTTATTATTACCATTATTGATGCATTGAATAAATTACAAAAAGTTGTTGCACAATTATTTGAAATTACACATTGTTTTGGTTGGATAATTAAAATTTTTGCTTCTCATGAAATGAATTTGGTAATCATATGGTAATAAGATTGGAATCTCGTTGGGCACAATGGGAGCAACCATTACTTTTACTTTCAATTGTTCTTCATCTAAAATATCGTATTTCAAATTTAAATCATCTAATAAAAATTTCTTATACACACTTTGGATAATGGATTATATATTACTATCAAGCATGGTTTGACAAAACACCAAAAAGAATTCTTCGAGAATATCTATCATATCAGCGAGAGATTTTTCCATTTAATTCTGACACTTATAATCAATTTGAAGAGAATATTGTTTATTTCTTGGAAGCTGCTAAAGGATTGGCATCTGAACTTTTGGAATATGTGTAAATGCAGCTCCAGTAGAACACCTTTGGTCAACAATGGGATATTTACACTCAAAACGTCGAAATAGGTTACATATAAGTATATTTTTATTAAATTATTTCATGTCACAAAATCAGATTCACAAAAATATTTTATAGCATAAAAAGGTTTTGGCTATGGCTCAATTGCGAAGTAATATATTATATAAAAGGAAACGTGAATATATAGAAATCTCTGAAAGACATTACAAGCGAATGCATATAGCTGAACCAGTACAAGAACATGAAACAGATGAAGGATGTAATGAATTTACATTTAATGCTTTTAATATTAGTGATAATGAAGAATCTGACGACAATATTGACGATACCTTTGAAAATATTATTAATAGCAATAATATTAATTCCGAACGATGGGTTAAAATAATTAAAGATTGGATTGAAATGGTAAATATAGAGTGAAAATTATATAGGTGAATATGACAAGAGACCATATGATTCTGAAGTTGGTAGACATGATATTCATCCGGCAGATAACATATTAGCTAAATGGAAATTGCTTGATTTATTTGGCGAATCTTTAGAAGCACCAGTTTATATTGACTCAATGATAATTTTATTAAAAAAATAATTTTACATTGTTACTAAATAAATAATATTACAGTCGTTACATGGGTTCTTAAATATTATATAAATTTTTATATTACTATAATACTAAAATCAGACCCTAAAAAATAAAGACTAAAAACTACAAAATGCTCGTCTATTAGTGACAAAACTGCTGAAACACCATAAAATTCCAAAACTTGCAAACAGGTTTCAGCATAGTTTTAACATGTTAGCAGGCCTAGAAGACTGGAAATTTTCCCTAAAGAAATAAAAAGAAAGGAACGTTAGCTGGCATTCCTAAAAAAAAAATCTCACCATCCAAACTTATCATTCGAAGTTCCAGTTTCCAGGAGACGTTCCTAAAGAAAAAACATGAAAGAACGTTAGTAGCGTTCCTAAAAACAAAAAAACTCCCACCCAACTTTACCATTCGAAGCTCTAGCCAAAATCCAGTATAGAAGACGTCCTTAAAGAATAAAAATGCAAGGGAACGTTAGTAGCGTTCCTAAAAACAAAAAAAACACCCCATTATTTGAAGTTCCAGTTTCCAAGAGGTGGAATCCAGTTCAGGAGATGCCCTAAAGAAAAAAAAGATAAAGGAGACGCTAGTAACGTTCCCAAAGCAAAAAGAATAAAAAAGAAAGCAAACAACTTATGGACTTACCATTTCGTAAATTCCGAGTCGAGAGAGAGAGAGATTATATACGAAATTAAACAAAATAGGTATATACATTATTTTATGCCAGAGTTTAAAAATATACTACTACTTAATTCAGAATGAATGTCCCCAGAACGGCACTAAAATCTTTTTTGGGTACTTTTTGTTTTTAAATTAAACCGGTTTTTTTTAAAAATAAAAAAAAAAGCGCCGGAGGGAGTTTTTTTTATAATATATAACGATAAGGATTCAATTGATCATTCCAAAGGAACCCTACCATCAAATAATATCCTACATCTGAATTAATTTTAATCTGCTTTGCAATAAAAATTTATAAACCGAAAAGACACTAGATTCATCTAATTTTTCGAATCTCAAACTACATTCACGACACACGTCAAATAATCCTTTGAATATTTCAAAAAGAATGATTGGATGCGATTCGATTGAATATCCTCCGATCCAATTTCATAAAAGGATTTATTGCGTTGGCAGATTTTCTTTCCTTAAAAGCATTCTCAATTAATTTTAAACTTTCCCTTTCACGTTGATCAAGTTTTCCCTTCTCGGCTAAAGACAACAGGTCTCTATAAAAAAAGTTTATATATAAAAGTCCTTGTTTCCTTTGTTGTGATATCAATAAATTTTGGTACATGTCATTGCTAAATTGATTTGAAAAACTCATAAATTTTAAGCACCCTATCGTCATAACGTTCAATATAACGGTAATAAAATCATCCGTTGGTAGAATTCCCTAAAAATTCTTTAAGATCTTTTAAGTTATTGAATTCTTTAAAGTACTTTTTATAAAAACCTTAAAAAATCCTATAAAAAAAAAAGATTATATAATAGTTTTCGATTATATTAACCAATGTATAAAAAAATAAATATATTATAAAATAAACAAAAAGATTACTTCTTAAATGTCAAATGATTGATAAGTCATATGACCGATACCGAATCGCAACCCGCAGATTATAATTAATGCCTAAACAATTTCGGCATTTTAGACGTACATCATCATTAATGTTTTGGGATTCCGAATTCCATAAATTTTTATAGAATCCTTGTGGATCCGGAATTTTATGGATTACCTAAAATCCTTAGATAAATTTTAAGGATCTTTCAAGGTTCCATGGAGTGACAGATTCTTTAAAGATTTCTAAATACAAACCCTTAAAGAACTTTTTTTGAATGGCGCAGTAAATTGGTAGATTTCGGATATAAATATCACGGTTACCGTTGAAGTAATTCTGGCTAGCATTACAGATCACATGATTTAATTCCAAATGACAAATATTATGTGTCATTTGCTTTCTGAAATGACATGATGACATATGACATATCATTGAGATCATTCGTGTCATTTCATGTCACTTTCCAACACTGCTACGAATAGAAGTCATAATGGCAATAAATAGGAAGATGAAATTTTTGTATTTATAATTCGAAATTGTACATGACCTCAAACAAATAAAAAATCGGGAAAATTCGGAATGTTTTTAGCCACATTTGCCTTCCTCTTCATCACGTGTCAATGGGTGTTTCTTCAACTATGTAATCAAAACATTGTTAATTATCATATAAAAATTTACTATTAGAATTTTTTGTTATACTGATAGGTTAAATTTGCTTTATAATAATCTTCTCACTAAAATCTATACTTTTTTAGACTTTAATAATTTTAGATTCTTCTTAATATCTTCGCTCCAAATTTTACAAAAACATTCTAAATTATTGTTTCTTTCATGTAACAGCTAGTTTTTCCAAAAAAAATTATTTAAGCTTCAAGTAATTAATAATAAATCTTTTTGTACACAGCTCTCTAAATAAATTTTAGGTTATAAATTATTCATTTACAGTTTTTATTTGTCTGAATGCTAACATATACCGAAGTTATTAAACGTTAAAGATTTAGAATTTTTTATTAGGAAAATCGTAATAATAGTAGTAAATATTAGGACATAAAATTTTACAATTGACACGGTCACCCGGGGGTTTTCATATGCTAAATTTTTTATATGTATAGTTATATTCTGTATTACATAAATAAATTTTGTATTACATAAAATAAAGTTGTTAAATCCTTCTTTCGTCGCTTTCATTTAAGCAAATCTAATACGCTAATAACCATTGTACGTGATTTGCTTCGTTCTAAAGTCGTATTTGAATAAGAATGGCTTCCTGTTAATGAGGAAATGAATATAGAATATTTTCAATGATGTGGTAGTTAATGAATTTAAGATAGAGTTATGGGAAAATAATTATGTTGCATATTTTAGTCTATACAAAAACAAGTGAAATGGAAAAGATAAGATTGAAATGTAATGCATGGAAAACTATTCAACAGAGCGATAAATATGTAACATTTAAATTACTTGATGACTCCAGTAATAAACTAGGTCACGAAAATAATATGTAACAAATTCACATTTTTCGAATTTATTATAATAAAATTTATTATGTAAGGTCTCGTGATAAATCGACTCGGTCGGGTCACGAGAATTTAAAAATTTACTTTACCTGGCCTTATGAACTTTAATATCATTCCTTTTGTAAGTAAGATTTGAACAAATTTAATCATTAAATAAAATTTTAAAAAATCAAAATGCCTTATATAATACTTTCTTAAGCGATCAAAATCCTAAGGAAAAAATAATTAAATCAAAGGTCTCGATCACAACGGTCGAAATCTATAAAGATTTAAATTAAAATAAAAATTAATAGAAAATAAATGAAAACCAAAACATGAAATTAACAAATACAATAAAAAGTTACATATCGAGTTTACTTCCGAATAAAAAACGAAATTATTACAGGCTGCAGTGCTTAAAAAGAAAAAAACTAAAATTATAATTTAAAACCAAACTCGCCTAAAAAAATATTCTAACAAAAAAGAGAAATTAATAAATATAAATAAAAAATAAAGGCCTTTAAATTGATTTTCGACTGAAGTCGGAATTCGGGTTCTGAAATTATCACCAATTTCAGATACAGCTTACCACAACAGATTTGGGTTCGAAATTTTCACCGCCATTTTCTTGGAATTTCCTTTTCTTTACGTTCCTATATCGAGTTGAATTATTTCTGCAAGAATTTGATAATTATTTTTTTAGTTTTTAGTTTTCGTTGACTTGTGACTGCAGCTATAGATGATTTGATTTTTCCAGTATATGATAATTAGGGTTTTCACTATTTTTATTTTTACATTAGGTTTTTTAAATTATTTTTCTAAATTTATTATTTTTTTATATTCCTTTCCGGATTCGATTATTATCATTATTTGGGAGGTAAGCTATTAAAATCACGTTAGGGATCATATGATTTACTATGTTCTTAATAGCAAATCTCCCATTTGTTAACAGGCTTTTTTTTTATTTTTTATTTTGGATTATTTTTTAGGCGATAACTTTTGACATTAAATGAACTTTTTACTCTTTTGGTTCGATCGCGTGCCGTAGACATTTCCCCCGGTAATCTCGTTTATATTAAGATGTTTGAATTACGCCTTAGGACACTCAAGTTTTGAAAACCTGATTATACCCGGATATAATTGAGGCGATTACCTAATTATCTAGTTGATTGGTTTGCTTTGAAAAAAAATTCGTTTAGATATCTTTATTATTTTAAATAAAAATTATCATTTATTTCCACGAAAAAGCTTAAATATTTAACCTATCCTATTTGACTCAAACTATTATAATCTAACTAATGAAATTAAATAAATGTGTAGAAAGAGAGAGAGAAAATAAAGGTTAGGTAAATAAACAATTTCAATTTATTACTCTTTATTTATTAGCTACTGTATTTACATGAAAGATTAGTTTAACAATTACGCTAATTCTTTTCCGAGATCTTTTTATAATAATATATTGAAATCGCATGATTACATATTCTAATTCGTAAACCCGTTGTTAAGCCTAAACACTACTTTGTTAGGATAACAAAGCTTATTTGCTAACAGGGAGTTTAAACTATGAAAGAAATAAACACGAATTTATTTAACTTGAAGGGTCAGGTCGTCTTTATTGGTGATTTATGTTTTTAAGGAAATAGATATTGACAAAGATATAGTTTTTATATCATTGGTGACATTGTTGGCGCAGTCATTTAGTGGCGCAAAACGGATTATCACTAACACCGTCGAAACTGACAATTATTTTCGACTATTGCCAAATTTTGTCCCACAACCTTGATTTTGATGGCAATGACATAATCCTAATAAACAAAATTTGACATCGCATCAGGAAAACGTGGCGCTTGTGCCGAAATTAATTTATACTAGTCACTAAAAAAGATATACCAGATAGTGGTTAGTATAAAAACATAAAAATCATAATAGAAAACTTTATACTATATTGAAT